GCTGTAAATAGGCCACTTTCGGTTTTCCTCAAATACCTCCCTTTATCCAGTTCTAAGTCAACAAAAATCTCACACGTAAAACTTTCAAAATTCTGCTTTTGGAGTGTGTTGTGAATGGATAGCATCAGGGAGATGCCTCAAGTCGGGACGGGACTGATGGCATGTCAAACTTACTGTTAATACAAAATTCATATTTGAGTGTTTAGAAATGGAGAGTAAAAGAGCCACAAGTCAGTGAATTAAATAGACATACTGTTGACAAAAACAGCACTCGATGGATAATGAAGTATTTACCCTTTGTAATGTACAATAGTGGTGAAACTATAGGGCATCAATGTTTGCAGATTTTTTTGTTGGTCTCTAAAGCCATTAAATGATCCTAAGGATGGCTTATATTTCTCAACCATGTAAGCCTTTAGTATTTTTAAAATATTGTTTGTTCTTTTATTCAGCTTTACACTTAAAATGTATGTCTTTCCTAAGATGAGATTTTCTAGGTATTGTTTGATTTCAATACAGTGATTCAGCTCATAAAACAGCTTATTTCTTTTGAAATAAGTGAAGAAATACATATGCATTGTGAAAATTTAGCCATACCACATTTTAATGCACTAAAAGGTGTTGGCTCTTTTCATTCTTCTTTCCTTCTTTCTTTTGTTCACCTATTGAGACAAGCATAGCTGAAGAAAATAAATATATCTGATAAAATAAATAAATAAATATAGCTGATGAAAAAATATATCATCCAGTTGTGCCAATTCATAATCGATAAAAAGCTAAACACTTAAGCAGAAAATATATCACAGATTTGTGCCCTAGCTAAGCATCTATTTTTACCTTGCCATCATCATCAGAAGCCGCATTCTGACAGAAATTATTTACTTGAAGCAGCCGTGATATATAAACCCTATGGGGTCGTGTGATTCAGATTTAGGAATATCAACCACAGAGGGTCTAAAGGCATTGTGCATTAGTATGTATTGAGACCTCATTCCAGGTGGCAAGCAGCTGGACTTTTGAAAAATAAAACTCCCAAAATAAGCGTGAAGTGCTTGTTCCTAGGCAATAAGTGTTATATTTAATGGAATCATACTCAAAATGTTATAAGTTAGGCCAGAAAAGGGAGTTGTGCATATTTAATATATTTGTTTTGTATTTCCACCAGTCAACAGAGTAATGAAATTCCTTAACTACTTCTCTTTAACTTGCATGAAGAAAGCACGGTATGTTGCTAAATCTCTTTTCAGCAGCTCTGCGGAGAAACAACTTTAATCCTTGTTAGAAAATTGCCGAGTCTGGGACTGACAAAGAGCTCATGCTTGTTCTATTGTTAGTGCTCCCCAGCCCCAAGAGCAGAGCCCTTTACAGCTGCGTGGAGCCCGCCCGGCTCAGCTGCACTATTTAGGAGAGGAGGTTTGTCAATTTCTATTGACAATGGAGAGAGTTTTTCAGGGCCTGTAGCAGTGCTGACACAGTTGGGGATCAATGCCAGCCATTCAGACTGCACCCTCTTTCATTGCTTTGGTTTGTTAATTCAAGACTAAAGGTCCACTGAGGGGGTTCAGGGTGTTTAAGAAAGCTGATGAACTGCAAGCGTTTATAGCCCTGGTGTGGCAATTTCCATAGTCAGTGGCAGCTCCTGGCACTGAGGGAGCTGTGTCCTTGTTGACCCTCTTGTTATTAAAAATGCACAAGTGCTGCGCTTCTCAATATTTCAACACTCTTTCATTGTCAATACCACCTTCTGAGCCCTTCAGCTTGTTGCTTGCTCTAAAGATCTTCTTAGATTGGGTTTGAAAACTTCACCTTAAACACTAGATTAGACTGATGTTCTGTTTTCCGTGCTCCTGTTGATTTGTTGAACCTTCCCAGGGCTGGAAAGCAAGTAGCAGCTTGATGGGGAGACGGGCTGCTAATATGATTTACCAGTCTACAGTCATGCACAATAAGTGTGAATAAATACAAGGGTCTCACAGAGTCAACCCTAGCCTTTCCTTTTCTTTTATTTTTGCTTTAAAAGAGATACCTCAAGAAAATGAAGTGAGTAATGCATGCCCTTACAGGAGTTGAATGAACCACAAAAAGGAAAAAAAAAGCCATATTTTTTGTTAAAGTGGTAGGCTGCCGTCATGGATTGATGTAGAAAAAAATTGTAAAATATACAGTTACTGTTTTATTCCAATGTAGACCAAAGCGAGGAATAAAATGGTACTGCTGTACCCTCGGCTGCAGGGCAGGCTGGCGTGGCCCCTCCCTTGTCATCCCCTGAAGGGAAGAGCGTGTATTCACCCAAGTTATTTTATAAAATTAACTTTTCCCTAGTGAAAAGACATTTCCTAACATTCAAACTTTACTGCACATTCACCTTTTTCTTTTTTTTTTTTTTTCCTCTTGTTTTGTTTTTGAGGGTTGGTTTGGTGTGGTTTAGTCTGACAGGAGATATTCAGTTAACCCAAATTTTGACTCTTTTTCTCAAGTTGAAATATGGGACCACTATGCTTTCAGCTCCATAACAAAGAAGATATTAATTCCAGCCCTGGGACTTAGGAAGGTGCTAGAGGTTTCTGTGAGTGGTTTTGTTTGTTGTGGGCAGGGAATGTTCACTCTACGAGAAAGCAGCAACGTAGTGGGTTTTGTTGTTCGTCTACTCGTAGTGGCAGCATAGGCTAAGCTCCTAGCTCAGCTTTGCTCTCCCTTCATCGTCTGTGATTTAGCTGCAACGCTCCTTCAAAATACCTGGACCTAGGAACCAAAAAGTGTACATTCTCATCTGATTAATTTCTCTAAGAGACTTTCCTTTGTAGAATAATTTACCTTCAAAGTAAGATGATGGCAAATAGCTTTAAATTTTTCACTTAATGATAGCTCTTTTTCAGTTTTTGTATTTACTTTTAGAAAAATTTGTTCCCAGATTCCTTTTCTGTCAGATGAAAATACTGACACTGTGTAGAAGTTATATTAACAGTTCCTGTGTTACATTAAATATCCTTTCAGTTATCAGTAATAAGTATCATTTCTATGCAATGGGAACTGAAGTTAAATTAGTTTTAAGTTATGTAAGAATTTTTTAAAGACGTAAACATATGGAGTAATTTTAAGAAAGTGTTTTCATTTCCCTCAGATTGTAAAACTTACCAATGTATATAATAATTGCATAGTCTAATAAATTAATGTACTGGACTACAATATATAATATTTTCTGTTTTTTAACAGAAAAAAATTAGCCCTTAATTTATCGATCCCTTATAATTTTCAAAACTCGCATCCATTTTAACTTTAAAATTATCTGGAGAGTGAAACAGGGTGATAAGCTTAATTCAGTATGTTTAATTCAGAATTGCCAATCACTGCCTGTGTTTACTTATAGTAAAACTGAACACAAAAAGTTGAAGCTATGAATAATTTGAAATAAGTATGGAATTTAAATAAAATCAGAGATTAAAGTCAATATATATATAAGATTTTCAGCTGAGATAACTGAATTCATTAGTGGTTTATTTTTTAAGAATTTGGAAGTGTAGTTACTTCATTTTATAAAATTTATTTGTGATATTTTGATATAGTCTGAAAAATTAAAAAGTACTCATTAGGGAGGAGCAAAACTGGGTGCATGAATAACATATGTTTTAAAAATTACAGTCTAACCCACAATTTAAAAGCTTGACGTTTTCAATAATCTATTTGATTGTTAAAACTTAGAAGTCAGTTTTAATTTTCTTAAGCATGTAAGTTCAGTATACTAACAAATTAATAGAAATGAATGATGAAACGTGAAACTCATTTTTAATTTTTACTTAAAATGTCATTTCTTATACTACTTAGTATTTGAACACTGTCAATAAATACAAGTCCAGATATATTTCACACTTGTATCACTCAAGATTCCTCTTAGAAATTAAATTTACTATTTTGCTGTATGGAGAAAAAATGTTGAGAATATTTTTCTGTGTTTAAATACCTAAAAATATGGATATTGGTTCTGCTGTTTCTATATGCAAACAAGACACAAGATCTCCTTCAAAAACTCTATTGCCATTTCCTATGTGATGAATGAATGCTGATATTTCTCTGTTATTTATATACTACCATTATTCTTACAATGTTGCATAAACCTTGTTCTGTCACATAATCACTGAATCCCTTAAAATGTCACAATTAAGGTTAGATTGGCTTTGTTTGAAAATAGGAAACAAAATTTCTTGTGTTTTTCCTTCTCGTATATATTATATAGGAGCAGGAAATTATGTTAGAGAATTTCAGTATTTTCTGCAGCTTGTAGTAAACAGAGAAAAAGTATAAATCCTCCCAAAACACTTGCAAAGTGAAACTGATCTTTCTTTCATAATCTAGTCAACTGACATTGTTTCAAGATTTCCACATATGAATTCCATGTTGATAATGTTTCTGTGATCTCAATAAATCTTGATTTTAGATGGTTTTTAAACATCTTGGCAAATTCTTAACAGTCAATAAAGGTATGAGTAAGTATTTCTGTTTAATAAGTTGTAGGGTTTTTTGCCTTCAGTCCTTTAAAATATTATTTCTAGGTATTGACTATTACGTCATAAAACATCAATATCTGATTCTTTTACATAACATCTAAGCCAATGGGAACTTTTGCTTTCAAAATAATTTGCCTGTTTTTTTTTTTTCCTGCTGCTCAGCCATCTATTCCATCCCATAATGTATGTTTAGTATCCATTGTTACCCAAAAATTACAAAGCAGTCTACTTGGCTGCAAAGTGCAAAATCACTGTTTCCCATGAATATGTTACAGCTGAAAGGCTATAATGTTAATTCATGTAAAGAACAGCCTAGGTCAGCTTAGCTAGTAAGACACAATTCTGTTAACAGGAAATTATAGCATTATTGACTTTAAGTGCTTATCTGTGATCATTTCAGAGTGTTTCATTACCCCCTCATTAACCAATCTGCTAAATGAATACTACAGAGGTTTTCTTTTTTGTTCTCCTCCTCTCTACCCCCATCTTTCTTTCCAGCAATGGTACAGCAATTCCATGAAAGTTATTTGCATGTGGTTGGCTGATAGATTAGATCTCCAGCTTCACATTTATCAACTGAGGACTCTCATCAAGATTGTAAAGGTAAACAAAATGTGTTTAGATGTGAATACCCCCTCATTAACCAATCTGCTAAATGAATACTACAGAGGTTTTCTTTTTTGTTCTCCTCCTCTCTACCCCCATCTTTCTTTCCAGCAATGGTACAGCAATTCCATGAAAGTTATTTGCATGTGGTTGGCTGATAGATTAGATCTCCAGCTTCACATTTATCAACTGAGGACTCTCATCAAGATTGTAAAGGTAAACAAAACGTGTTTAGATGTGAATTGCCCATACAGCTATAAAGAATAATAGCAAGATATTATCACACACACACACACACACACACAAACAAAATGAGAAATATAAGTGAATGTAAGCACTTAACAGTATAACTTAATACTTTAATAAGTAATCTTCAGATTACTGAATATGTATTCATTTGCACTAATAAATAAAAGAATAGTTGTTAGTAAGCAATCACATTTTAAGACAATGTACATAGATCCCCTAGCACATTTACATAAGTATGGTGTCCACAATAATTGGGCATTAATTTTCTCAAGAAAAATAATTGTTTGCTCATAATACTTTTAATTTGTATTATGTATTATAATACAAATAATTTATAATAATTTATATTATGTATTATTATGTATTATTATGTATTATGTATTATTCTGAGGACACTGTACTTGCCAATAGAATTATGGGAATCTCATTTATTTAATTTTATCTTGGTATGAACGTAACACATTGTCACTGGCTAAATTCTTCTGGAACTATGCCCCTTCTTATAAAAAGATGAGCAGTTTAAATGTTAGAGACCATCTAAAACTAAGATGTCATGTAAGTTCATCAGGACATTTTGACTTTGCTCTTCAAAGGAAAAGGTAATAACTACACATTGTATTTACTGAATAGGAGCTTTAAAATAATAGCTATTTGACATAATTTTTGTAAATTCTAGTAGAAAAAAAATTATCATAAGGTAAATGCTTCTTAGGAAGAAATTTATCTCATGGATGAAAACATATTGCTAAGCTGCTGAGAATCAACTGTTTCTTTAAACAGAAATTCTTGACTTCCGTATCAATGCACATACACATCCACATGAGTATGCGTGTAGACAGAACATGTGCAGTGGTCCTCAAAGTGTCATTCCTGTGCTAGCATTATTAGCAGCATCACTTTAGAACGTGGTAAGAACTCCAAGCTCTTGGGTTCTAGCCCAGACCTGTGGAATCAAACCAAGGATCAGACCCAATAATCACTATCTTTACAGAACACTTTGAGGATTCTAATACACACCAGAAAGAACCACTCTTATATCATTCAAAGTTTTTTTTTTAATTCACTTTACATTTTTCCATTATTCTCTAGGTTCCTGCAGTCTGATACAAATGTTTTGTGCTATAAACACACAGGTTATCACAGATTACAAAGAACCACAAACAGGAAAGTTCTGTTTCAAAGTCAGAAATAAACAAATCTGCTGGACTGTAGAACCAGACTATAATGTAATATTACAATAATGGTAATTGTAGTTAGTCACAAGTAGCAAGTAAAATTATTGCCACCAAAAATTTTAATACTCTATCTTTACAGTACATTAAAAGACAAAATATCTTTGATCCAGAACACTTCTTACCAGCAAAAGCACACTATGATACATTCTATTTGACTTGGTTCTTTGTTGTTTCTTTCTGGATTCTATGTCTGACTTGGAGGGCTTTGAAGTAAAGTTCGCTTTTCATCAGAGAAATTGGGGTAATGTGCTTACCCTTCAAATATACTTGGAAGGGCCGGGGATTTAGCTCAGTGGTTCCACCACCTGCCTCACAAGGGCAAGGTCCCAGGTTCAATCCCTGGCACCAAAACAAACAAAAAACAAACAAACAAGTATACTCGGAAGGCTGCAGTCTGTACTGAACTGTGATCCATTCAGGATTAGCTGCTTATCCTTATTGTTATATTTTCAACTAAGGTCTACTCTGTTCAGCGTATCAGAAGTTACAAATTTAGCCAGTTAATATTAGCTGATAAATTGTTGAGCTCTTTTATTTTTATAATTAAAATCTCCATTTTTAATATGACCACCATTTATTTTTCAAAATTATTCCTTTTCTCATTTTAACACATCCTTGTAGTTAAAAATCAAGCACTAGTGAAATTATTTTCAGGTTTATTGAAGTATAACTGACAAATAAAAATTTATATGTTCAGCCAGGGGTTTAGCTCAGTGTTTCCACCACCTGTCTCGCAAGGGCAAGGACCCGAGTTCGATCCCTGGTACCAAAAAAAAGAAAATTTATATACATACATTTGCTAAGAGACTAGAGTTTAAATATTTATGTCAGTGAATATTTTAACATAAAAATAACGATTTTATGTTGAGTGTGGAAAGTGCATGCCTTTAATCCCAGCACTCTGGGAGGCCAAGGCAGAAAGATTGCAAGTTCAGTCCCCAGCCTGGACACCTTGGCAGCTTAGTAAGACGCTGTCTCAACGAATAAATACATACATACATACATACTGACAGACAGACATACTGGGGATTTAGCTCTGTGTGAAGGCCTGGGTTTTATCCCTAGTAATAATAATAATAATACTATTATTCTAAATTATATAATAACATTTTATTATATTCTAGTTCAGTTTATCTTTATATTCTAGTTCAGTTTTTTTTGTTTGTTTGTTTGGTTTTTGAGACAGGGTCTCACTTTGTAGTGCAAGCTGGTCTGAACTCACTATATATTCCAGGCTGGCCTCAAACTCACAGCAGTCCTCCTGCCTCACTCCCCAGTGCTGGATTATGGGCATGTGCCACTATGGCCACCTAATCCAGTTTATCTTATTTCATAAATATGCTTTATATTTTTATAAGCATTCACCAGGCTGAGCTAATTCTTTAACACCTTTAACCAAGGCATAAAGCTCTCCTTAATAATTAAAAAAATCATTCTTGGTGGATTGGTAATTTAATGTTCTAATTTTTCCTTCTTTAAATATACACAAACTTTTTGAGTTTCATACATATATCCATCATTTTTCAGAATCCATGTGGTTCTTTTCATAATGATCATTTGCTAGTGAATATTTAAGAAACTATTAAGCACTTGGGAGGCTGAGCTTGGAAGATTGAAAGTTCAATGCCAGCCTAGGCTACCCTGTCTCAAAACCCCTCTTTTAAAAGCAAAGTTATTAAAAAAACAAAGATACATAACTGTAAAGGCCCATAAAGTAGCTTTCTTTGCCAATCTGCATGTTGCCTTAGTGGTGCATTCCACCCAGAGCTAAGCTACCAAACTCTAGCATTCTGATCTTTACTACATATAGGTTTTGCCATCCTTCTGTGCCCATGGAGACCCACAGGTCATCAAAATTATTGATAGTCAACTTCCCTATAAAGATACTTACACACTAATTGGTTCACTTATGTTGCTCACTAAGGAAAAATGAAGACCAGTAAGATTTCCATGTAAAAAATCAAGCTCTCTCAAATTATGTGTAAGAATTTAACAGTAGATTGATTTATTATTAATCCCTCCAAAATCAGAGTGGCTGTTGCATTTATGTTCTCACTAGCATCCATAAGGCGTTTAAAAGCAGTTAACATAAATCAGCTGCCTCTTTTGCTAGGAGAAAAGAAGAGAAGTGAGCAGTACCCTGGAGCAGGCACTTGTCTTAAATAGGAGCCAAGCGAGCCATTCTGGCAGCCAGGGAGGATAACAGGATATTTGAATGCTGATAATATTTTATGAATTTAAGGCATAGTGAATTGGCTATTGCTTGCTAATAGAATAAAGACCTTGTTTTAATTGTATATAAAATAGTCTTTGGGATGGCAAATCTACAATTGAAACTTGTCCTGGACAACTTCGTTTAAAGGAAGTCATTCCTATAAATAAAGAAAGCCAAATATATGTCAATGAGACAATAATACTTTATACCATCTGTCAGTGAATGTTTTATGTCCTTGATATCCAGTATTTTTAATCTAACTATAAGGCAATAATAGTCTTGAGCACAAATTTCTGTGGCAATAATGCCATTCATATTAGCTACTAGATTCTCTAGACAAAATTTGCCTCTCAGAATTATTTCACTAGTTCTCATGAGCTCTCGTGAGTTTTGGTGTAAGATAATATTACTTTAGTCATGATTTGTGAGGCAGGCAGTGGAACCACTGAGCTAAGTCCCCAGCCCCTGTAGCCATGATTTGTGACTCAATGTAAGCTTAAGCCTTTGTCATCATAAGCTTATTCAACTTAGAGCACATAAAGCTGGTAAATTGAATATATCTTGAAGTATTCAAATTTAAGTGAAAACAGATTTGATAATTTCAGAAAAAAATATTCTCAATCTGAATCATACTTATTATTAAGAAAGACACTGACAGATACAACTCAGAACATTCCTCACATTCAATTCATTTTTGGACATTAATAGGCTTTTTCAAATATGCAATTTATATCAAAAATTTAGCCAAATAAAAAATACATACTCTTCCACCCTTACCATTTACATGTTGCTTCTGAATTTTGCAGTGATAATATGAGCATCACTTATATGAGAGAAGACAAGATGATAAAATTTAAAAGCCCCAGTGCTCCCAGTACCTTATAATGGTCTGTTTTTCCTAGAAGGTTGCCAGTAGAGGGTAGGCATGTTAAATGAGCGGATCAACAGGCACATTCCAACTCCTGTGAATAAGTACCTTAAATTCAGGTGTTTGAATTTTTTTTTTCTGGTATTTTTTTCTGGTAATGATAGAAATGTTAGGAACACATTGTGTGTTCAGTGAAATTAAGCATCTTTTATTAATAATTTCCAGGTACTGGAGTTAGGATTTTGAGACATAAAGTGTAATAGTCCTCCTTATTTGACTTTTTTCATCTATTAAGTTCAAATATTGGCCAGGGCAGTCGGGTGGGGAAGACCTCCAACAATCACTTAGAATAGATTAGTGGTATATTGGTATGTACTGATTCTTTGAGCCAATCCATTGAAGTCTGTCTGGCTGCTTAATATTCTTAGTATAACAGAGGACTGTAGGAGCATTGTGAAAGATGTTCAGCATTAGAAATGGTCTTCACAGACCATATGGTAGCATTGGTCTGTAGTCCTAGCTACTCAGGAAGCTAATACAGGACCATCACTTGAGCCCAGGAGTTCAAGGCCAGCCTGGACAATATAACAAGACAACATTTCAAGAAAATTTTTAATAAAGGCCTTCAAAGTGCTTCCACAGAACAGGATAACTCCACTCATTCCTTGCTTTTCCATTTAACTAACTTTAGATTTTTGTCTCCAACTTTAAAAAATTGAGAATAATACCTGTAATAATATAACAGTCTTCCTTAGTCATAGAAAATGTAAAGATAATCCCTTTAAAAAGTAAACATAAGGAAGGCCTTACATATTTTAAATGCCACAGAAGTTTCTGGAATCACTGTCAAAAGAAATATATATTCTGGTTTTGTTATAAAAATTATATTTACAACATACAAATTTTATTACTTTATAAAATTGCAAATACTTGTTTCATTATCCTGTCTATGGAAGTCTTATACCAGAATTTATCCCTTCCCCTTCTAAAGGGATTTCAACGAATAGGGTAAATTTTCTGCAGGCATTTAGATATACAAAGTTTTTACCCAGTGTATATGCAAATACATTTAAGAATTCACAAATTCTTGGGCCAGGGATTTAGCTCAGTGGTTCCACTGCCTACCTTGCAAGCACAAGGACCTGAGTTCTATCCCCAGTACCCCCCCAAAAAAAAGAATTCACAAATTCTTAAGAGTGTGAACTTCTTTTACTGACAATAGGATTAACTCTCTCCCTCAATACACCTGTCTCCCAAAATAATGCATTTTACAAAATGAAGTGTGATTTACAGTATTAATTTAAATACTCCTCAATTGAAATACTAAGAATATTTTTATTAAAAATAAATATATACAAACAAATCATCTTTGTTACAGATTATTCAAACAGTAAATCCTGTGGGATTCAACAAGTAAAGTTTTGAGGAAGGGAATAAATTTGTCACCTGATAGTCACAATGTTTTGATCTGTTCATAGTGATTATAGTCTGAGTACTACTATTCAATGTCACTCATTCCAGAAATGTACATTCCTGAAGTACATCACCAAGGTGACTGATGTGGGCAGCCACAATCTGAATCCACTAGTGGATAACCCAAGATGATTTTTCCAAATGCCAACTGAGTAAACTGAGGGAGATTAATGGCAATGTGTCTTTCACTGTAAATAAAATTTGTAATGTAAACATTCACTATATATTTTGATCACACTTCATATCTATCATGTAGTCTAACTCACCTGAGCAAATTCTCTCTTCTCCCTCCAGAAAACTTATAGGGACTTTCGACTGCAGGGGGTATTGGAAGGAACACTGAACAGTAAGACCTATGACACTCTGCACAGACGCCTCACAGTGGAAGAGGCCACTGTCTCTGCTTCCGAAGGGGGAGGGCTTCAGGGCATCACTATGAAAGACAGTGATGAAGAAGAGGAAGCCTGATGACACATAGTGCTGGAGAAGAAAGGAGGACATTGACACTGTCTTTTGTACCTTGTCCTTGTAATTATATTTATTGTCTTAATCAAATGCTTGTATTTCTTTAAGAAAGAAATGAAGTTAGAGTTAAAAGGGAAAAATGCCAAGTATTTTTTGGAAGATCCTTCTCTTTTGTGTAGCTTGACCTAGAATGAGCTTTGACTTTGTTTGTGATTAGAACATGATTTTTTTTCTTTTTAAAGCAAATTTGACCTTTTGTTTTTCTGCACTCACATCAGAGCAAGGTCCTGTGTGTAAAGTGAATTGTATTTTCCATAATATAACATAGTGAGAAGAAGCCACTTCTGATCACTGTGCCAACTCTACCCTCCCTTTGTTAAAATGTTGTGTACCTTCTGGTTTATAATTTATGTGCCAGGTTGGTTTTCTAGTTATTTTGCCAGTGTTGTGATGTGTATAAAAACTTTAACCTTGGTTTTCATTACCTTGAATTTGTCTGCAGGTGTAATCCCGGGCTTAAAGGACTACCAAACCCAAATATAGACTAGATTATCCATTGGGCTTGTGTCTTGTTCCATTCTGAACATTTAAGTTTAAGAAATCCCAAGGTGTGCTTCCACCAACATACCGTACTCCTACTTCTAAGTATAAGAGCTTGCTGGCAATAAAAATCCATTTGGTCATAACAGCCTGTACTTATTAGACTTGTATAGATTAAATGCAGTAAAAGATGTTTGCAGTACTTCAGACATTTGTGTTTGGCTCTGTTTTTGCTTTTAATCAAATAAAAAAAAAGGTATGGACTCTATTTTGTACCTAATAGGCACAAATATTTGTTTTAGAAAATCACCATGACAAAAAATATTCATAAGAGAAAATGCTAACTACATATGATTAGCTAATATTAGCATTTAATGTTAACTAGTAATGAGTATTATTAACAATGCTAGTACAGTAATGTTAAGTAGGAGTTGGCATCCTTAGTAGTAATTGCCTAAAAATATTTTCTGGCTAAGACTTTGAAAGATAGTAGTGTTATGCTTCATAATTTGTGAATTTTTAAATAATTTTTCTTTATATAGGCATATTATACTATTGCACCAATTTATTTGTAATTTTTTTGAGCTAGGGTCTTATTATGTTCCCCATGCTGGCCTCAAACTCATAGGAGTAGGCTACACTACAGAGGCCACCATACCTCGCTACATTCACAAGTAAATTTTAAATGAAGGCAGTTAATACAAGTGTAATCCGCAGTTTTTATATAGGTATCTTTGGGCTCAGTTGCATAAGATAACAAGATAAACGTGAAAGAAGACAGTTTCCTTCCCTTTTCTGGTTAAGAGATGAACTCTACAAAGTCAGTTTGTTTTAAAGACGGTTTTGGGGTGCCCTTCCTGCCTTTCTCGATTGCCACACCCACTACCCTTTTCAAGCCTTTAGGTGCCCAGCCATTCTACCCTAAACTCAGATATGTGTGGCCCAGTCTGGGTACCTAATCAGTATTTATAACATCGTAGGAAAACAAATTTGGATACCCAGTATGTTTTACTTCTAAAGATTTACAATATGACTTTTCATAAATTTATGGGTACCTCTCCAAGGTTTTTCCCCACAGGTCAAACTGGTCTATACTTGCAAATTACCCACCGTTCTTTCCATTTTTTTCTGTGCGTGTTTGTATGTGTGTGTGTGAGTACACACTCTGGAGATTGAACCCAGGACCTCATTCATACTAAGAATACACTGTACTACTGAGCAGTCCCCAGTCTCCTTTTCCTTTAAACAAAATGGCCATTTCCTTAACATGGCTCATGTCGGTGTAACTGATCTGTGCTGTGCTAAAGTGTGAACAATTCACAACCACCCAACTTTGCTGGACCTGTTTTAGAAAGTATTCAAAGGCATTTTTAAAAATGATAGGATTAAGGCACAATGAAGGGATGCCGGTGGTGTAGGAGGTTTCTGGGGTCCAGAGGTCCTTGCTACTAGCCCATCTGTCTGCTGCCTCTTGGAAATTCTCTCGGGATTTTGCTCTTTCCTCTTACCTTCCACACCTAGGAGAATTTTTAAAGCTGCCTTCCCTGCCTTGCACCCCCATCCTTACCAAGAACAATAGTAATCAAGGCATACCATGGAGCTGCTCTTAATGTTTTGAGGACTACCTGTACTGACCTTTGAGGCAAAAAAGACAAATAAATTTTTACAAAGTAACTGAGAGTGAAAAGTGGCTTGGGGAGAGGAGTAGCCCAGAAATTCTCTTCAGTCTGTCTGCATATTGCTTAAAATGGCCTAATAATGGTTCCCTGGGTGAGAGGTGTAAGGAAGACAAACGCCCAGGCATTTGTCTATTAAAGGAAGCCAGGTTTTATATGGCTTTATTCTTTAAAATATAGTATGTACGTTTTAAAAAAAAAAGTTTAGCTGAAAATCTAACAAGCAAGTCTTGCAGAATTTTTGAAGTGAAAAAAAATTTTTTAACTCAAAAGAAATAGCTGTGTCCTCCTAACTAGTTTTGGGAAAGGGCAAGGAATACCTTCTCTGGACAGTTGAGTGAGGAACAAGTGCACCCATCTGTTAACCCGTCCAAAAGGAAAATTTCTTCCTAATGATATAATGGACAATGTGAAATAGGAAGAAAGGGGCTAAGGGTGTAGGGAAAGTGGGAAGGGTAGGGGAAGGTAATAGGGGACAAGAAGAAAATAGGAGAAAATGAAAAAATGGAAATAAAGTGCTTGTAAATGGGGAGGGGAGGAAGGGGTGAAGGGAGGGCAGGGACAATGGGAAAAAATGAGAACCAAGACCTGGCATGTAAAGGTACAGGATCCTAGTAATGAATGTAACTGTACTGTATACCTAAAATGTACCGATAAACTCAATGAGGAAAAAAGGAAAGTTTCTGCAAACACCTGTTGCAGGAAGATAACAATACGCCTCCCCCCCCCCCGGAAAGAAAAGGCCCTGCCCAGCAGCGAGCTCAGGGTAAAACCTTGCTCCAGCTGTGCGTAGTTCTTGCATTCACATATTTTTCCACGTGAATTCCCTTTAGCCGGTGCTCATTGTCCCTCGCTCAGGAGAAGGGATTTCCTCCTACTTTTACCTCGCAGAGCGCATCCGGGGATCCCCACCTCCCGCCCCCAGGGCCACGACCCGGCCTGGCACAGCCCTCTTCTACCCAAGGCGAGCGACTGGGCAGGGTCCCAGGGCTTCCACTTGGAGGACGCGTTCGAGTGGGAGAGAGCGCACACGTTGCCGCTGCTCAGAAGCCCTTTCCAGCTGCGTTTCCGTTTGCTGCCCACGTCGGGGAGGCCAAAGGGCTAAGGCCGGCTGGGACCCTCGACGGGGGTGGGAGGGCAGCGGCCACAAGCTGCCGAGCGCCCGAAGTTCCTGGACCCCGAAGCCCAGGGCGCATCGTGAGGACCTTCCAAACCCAGCCCGAAGGACCCGAGAGGGAGATCAGAGCAAAAGTCGTGGCCGCTTTTGTTATTTCCAAAACAAAAAAATGGAAATTTCCCGGTCTGGGTCCCTAAAGAGAAATGACTGATCGACGTTCCTGAGAGACATTCAGGCACCTCTGGCGGCCGAGTGCCCTCAGGGCAGAAACCTCAAATCCCCACCGCAGCCCTCCACTCGTCGCCCCATCTTGTGCAGAATTTGGAAGCCGGACGTGGAATCTCTGGACTCACCCTGTCTTTACCAGAGTCCCCACCGCCACTAGTGTGTAGGGGACTAGCTGGCAAGTGATCTCCCTTTCCCTTCTTGTCCCTCTCTCGGGACCCCTGGGGAAGGAAGCCTGCGGCTGCGGTTGACTTCCCTGCAGAGAAAGAGCCCTCAGGCTGGAGCGGCAGGGAAGTGGCCAAGAGGGACTGGGAGCGGGGACACCCATCAAACACTTGGCTGGGACAAAGTGCCCCTCCACAGGGAGCTGGGAATGAAGCTTTCCCTGGGCTGCCCCGTTGTCTGGGAAAGTGGCACGTAGAGTTGCCTAAAGCTGCCTTCCCTGTGACATCGACTAAGACACGTAAGGAGCAGCGATGTTCAGGTTGAGTGCAAGGCTCCAAGCCTGAGTTCCAGAAGTCACAAAAGACAGCTGAGCACAAACTCGCTGTCCATATACAGCGTGTGACTGTTTGCTGGTAGAAGTGGGTGCTGGGGTGTGAGTGTGTACCAACCAGGGAAGAGGAGGTGAGGCAAGAATTTGGTCTGTTCCTAAATGAAGAAACCCCTTGATTTAAAAGACTGCCCAACCAGAAATGTTTGCACCTCACAGCAGCTTGGTCACTAAAAGAATTCTTTCAGGTGTTCTTTTCTTTTCTTCTTTATACTAAGGATTCAATCAAAGGCCTTCCCACTGAGCTACATTTTCATCCCTCTTTCATTTTTTAGTTTGACACTTTTTGCTAACTTGCCCAGGTTGAGCTTGAACTTGCCACCTTCCTGCACTGGCCTCCCAGAGTGCACCTCAAAGCCTACCATGTGAACTCTGGCCTTAGAATTAGGAAAGTCTAGGTTTGAATACCAAGAGCTACACTTCTCCTGTGTACCTGAGCACCGTGTCTTTAGAGAAGTTGCTTAACCTTCCTTTAAAACGGACATTTAATAGGGAAGATTGCTGTAAGGATTAGAGACATATAAAGAAGAATAGCCATTATTAACTCTGTCTTAATGTGGTGACAGATTCAAAGAAACTCCGTGGAAGGCCTGCTTGGGCCAACACAAACCACTGGTCTCATCGCACATTCTTCCCGGGGATAGTACAGGTCCTTTTGGATCACTCTCAGCTCTACAAATGTCCAGCCCAGCCCTGGAGCGTCTGTGCATGGTTAGAATTATCTAATTTCTAGGTTATACAGCTGGCCAGGATGGTGAGAAGAGAGGAGGAGAGAGGGAAGGGCACACCAGCTCTGGTCTCCTGAAAGTACTGGCATTGCTGATAGGGAAGGGAGGCAGTGGGAGGGCACACTGAGTCCTCTAGGAGATGGTGGTGGTCAGGGACACCAAAAGGGGACCAGGAGGATCCAGGAGGGGCCGGACTACACTTGAAGAATCCCAAACCTCAGCCTGTGGCCAGCACACTGAGTTCAAGGAAATTTCAGGGATGAAATGCTGCTCAGACATTTTCCAAGGTGTAAGGGCCCTAGAATGGCACCTTGCCTCCCAGAACAGGAATTCAACACGAGGAAGCACTTGCGGAGTACAAAGGTGAAGAGAGAAGGCTGCAGCTGCCTAATGTTTCCCAGCATGGCTCCATCCACAGCAACCAAGTACAAAAAAGACTGTGGATGCTTAGGGTGGATCACTGTTTAGCCCTGCCTGCCCAGCAGCACTTCTTGGGTGCAATGAACACTAGAATAGCAAAGGGGCCCAGTAAGGGGCAGAGAACATCCCCTCCTGTCCCCATCCAGCCTGTCAGTGGCAAGAGAGTTGTGGGCCCTGGCAGTACTGAGGCAATTTGCTTCGCGACCTTGAGGAGGCTCTAACTGAATTAAAGAGAGAGGAAGATATGGTGCCCCACATTTGGCCTGGAGAGGAGCTACATTTTAACCCGAAGGGTACGTGCCACCCAGCCACTCCTTCAAAGTAGCTGACCTTCAGCTTCTGAATCCCAGACCTAGGGACTCTGACACTAGGAACGTTTCAGTCTCTGTGTAGTTTGCAACTGTACAGTGAGCATTGCTGTGTTTGTGTCTATTTCTGAGCAACAGAAAACAAAATCAACAAATAAACATTTTAC